ATGGGATGGGATGGGGATGGGGACAGGAGCAGGTCCTTACCAGTGGGAGGTAGTCGTGGCTGGCGTGGTTGCTGGAGCGTTCGCTTTCCGGGCTGAGGCAGTGCGGGCGCAGCACCAGGCTGGGTCCCCTGCGCCTGCTCAGGCTAAACCTGTGAGGCAACAGGCAAGGTAACAGTGTGGGGGGAATTCCCAAAGGGCAGCTGGACCTCAACCTGCTGCAGGGAAGGGACTGGAGCACCAAACCCCCCACTTATGCTACAGGAGCTGGTAGGGGACATTGAACCAGCAGTACCCAAGAACTGGCACCACCCCCCTCTCCCCACAGCATGCCACTTTTCGGTCCCTCCTATCCCAGTGTCACCTGGAGCCAGCGATGCTCTCCGTGGATTTATGGGAGCCCATGGAGGTGGTGGAGGGGCTGGATGGAGGCCCTGCAAGGGGGAGAGAGCTGAGCATAGGGAACATGATGCACACAGAGGCACATTCTCCTCCCCAGCACATGGGAGGGCGGCTCAGCCCCTGTGCCCAGGGCAGCAAGGGCTCAGCAGATCTCCATCTCTGAGCTGCCAGTTGCAGGGTGTTGACAGTACCCCCTGTATCCCCCCTCATCCAGCCCTTGATCCCTCCAACCTGGACACACCATTGGAGCAGTTCTGCTTTTCCCAGCCATAGGTAGGGGAGGAGATGCTAGCTGGTGACTTGGGGGTCTCATCTCGCTCTGCAAAAGACCAAAGCCCTGAGGGCCCCTGGGCTCCAGGGACCCTCATGGCTTGCAGCTGCTGCCAGGGGCTCCTGTGCTGTGCCCACCATGTTCCCCTCCCCAGCGTGGGGCAGGTGCCCCTGCACTCCAGGCAGGAACAGCCTTACGCAGCTGCCAGCTGCGAGTCCCCAGGGAACCCAGTCTAGGTCCCTGGGGAGCATAAGCTGACACAAAGGCCTGAGTCAGTACCTGCAGCGCCAGGGATCTCGTCCTGCTCCTCCGCTTCCTGCTGCTGGCCCTGACCTGCTGAGGAGCTCCAGTGGTGCCAGTTCCCTGCTGCAGCAGCTCGCGTCCGGCTGGCTGAGCCGGCTGCAAGGGATGATGCCACCTCAGCCCTCTGCCCTCTCTCCGCCCCCTGCGC